TACGTTCTTCCAATTACAAGATTTGTATCCCCGTTCTTTCGATGAAGTGAAAGACAATTTAATCAAGAGCTACGACCGAACTGAACTCAAGGAGAAGAGCACATTGGACCAATTGATGGGCATTCGACAATTACGGGAAGAGAAGGTATGTGACTATGTTATAAGACTTAATACTATGTTTTACGGTGCGGTATCTAAAGACAATCAAGTTTCGATGCTCCGTGACAATGTCGTGATGAAGAGATTTATGAAAGGGCTACATCCCCAGATCCGGGAGCACGTTTTCCGCAGCGAACCTAAAACGCTAAACGAAGCTATCGAGATTGCGGAACGGGAAGAAGAAGTCGTAAATGAGTGTGGGAACATCGGTAGCAATAGAACAATTTCCGTGATACAAAATCCAAAGAATGAGTGTGACGAAAAGGGGGAAACCACTAGTGCCGAGGCTGAGAAAAACGATAGATTAACTCGGTTGGAAGCCACAGTAAGATCACTGTGCGAATCTGTCGCTCAACTGGCGGAGAATAGCCGTACGAGACAGAGAATAAGGCAAACGGGTAGTAGGCGATGTTTTATATGTAATGACCCGAATCATCTAGCGCGAAAATGCCCTAAGCGAAACCCTTCCAATTTAAACTAAATATGGAACAGAGTGAATGCCAGCAATCTGTTCCCAAGTGTAAAATAAGTCTGGCTAGTGTGAATGTATCTGAGAAGGGACTCCCGATTATAAAAGGGACAATGCAGAATCTGGATGTGGCACTATTGTGTGATACGGGAGCTGAGAAATCGATAATGGACATGGATTTACTGGGGAGATTAGAGTTCCAGCACGGAATACAACCCTATATTAGAAAAGAAGTGAGAATTCGGGGGATCAACGGACATATCTCTGTCTCTGAGTGGGCCCTAGAGGTAGAGGTTAGCAAAGGATATGAGGTGACTGATTTGTTATTTTCATGTATAAGACTCCCTCCTGACCTTGAGTATGACGGAATATTGGGGGTGGATTTTCTCGGTAAGTTCCCGTCAATTCTGAGTGAAGTGAGGGGAGCGTTGGAAGGCAGGAGCATGTTATACAGGGATCATGGGGTTTATACAAGTTCCGCCAGGGTAAATACCAACGAAAGAAACATAGGAGCGATAGACTTTTCCAATATTCCAGGACCATACTTTGATAGGATTTATAGATTGGTAAAAGAAAGAGGTGATGTTTTTTCCTTAGATGTTAAAGATCTTACGGGCACTAATAAATTCGTGCACAGGCCAAAAATCGACGATACCAAAGTCGTAAATGTGAGACAGTATCGTATCCCCAACTGCCATTTGAGTAAGTTAAAAACATTAATACAAGATTTTCTAAAAGCTGGCATCTGTGAGGAGAGCTCATCACCGTGGAACTCCCCTATCCACGTAATAGCTAAGGAATCCGGAGAGATAAGGATGACATTAGACCTCCGGAAAGTCAATGAACTAACCGAAACCCAAGACTTCCCAATGGCCCGCATAGACGACATCTTGGAAAAATTCCATGGGAGCAAAATCTTCTCAATATTAGATCTCAAATCTGGATATTTCCAGATCCCAATAGACCCATCAACCCGCCACATGTTCGCTTTCTCGACTCCATGGGGCAAGTACCAAATGTGTAGACTTCCCCAGGGAGCCAAAAATAGTGGAAGGTACTTTCAATATGCCATGTCTCGTTTATTGGGGAAACACATAGGTATAAATTGTTATGTATTTCAAGACGATATCGTCATATTCTCTTCGTCCATCGAGGAACATATGAGAATATTGGAAGATGTGATCACCATCATCAGCGAGGCAAACCTAAAGTTAAACCCGAAGAAGTGTAAATTCCTTGTAAATAAAGTGTGCTATTTGGGTCACCTTATTGACGGAGAAGGGATCAGCCCCGATCCCAAGAATACCGACGCTATAGCACGCATGAGACCCCCTAAAAATGTAAAAGAAGTCAGAAGCTTCCTAGGAATGATAGGTTTTTTCAGGAAATTCATAAAGAACTTTTCCGAAATAGCCCTTCCACTCACCGAATTGACAAAAAAGCACGAAAAATTCAGGTGGGAGGAGCCACACAGAGTTAGCTTTGATCGTTTAAAGAAATTCACTGTTAGTCCGCCCATTCTAGCCCACCCTGATTTTAACAAACCTTTTTTTTTACATGCGGATGCTTCTGACAAGTGCTCTGGCGCAGTCCTTGAACAACGGAGAGAAGAAACTTTACTCCCTGTAGGATACTTTAGTTACAAATTCCACGGCGCCGAATTAAACTATTCTACAATCGAGAAGGAATGCCTTGCTATTGTCCTTGCTCTCCGACATTTTCGCCCTTTGATCCTAGGCCAACGTGTACTTGTATACTCCGACCACAAGCCGTTATCATATTTAAGAAACATGAAAAATCATAACGGCCGACTGATGAGATGGGCGATCGAAATATCGGATTTTGACATTGAGATTAACCACGTGAAAGGTCAGGATAACCATATGGCCGACTGGTTATCGAGAATGTCTACCGACCCTGATTCATACGAACCTATTGTTATAAATACAACTGGCGAAGACACGAATTTGTTAGAAAAAGTTATAAAATCCCAAGACGGCGACAACTTTTTCGGCTCGATAAAAAGAGCTCTCCTAAAGAATAATCATAAAAGTCAGGAGGGGTGTAAAAATGGGACGATCCCGCCTGAATTTCAATTGGATGGTTATAATCTCATCCACGTGAAACCAAAATTATACGGGATAGGCGAAACAAGAAGAACTTGTGTCGGTAAAGATGCCATACAGGATGTCGTACGGAATTTTCATAATAACCCTCTAGCAGGACATTGGGGATGGGATAAGACAAGGAAACTTATTAGCCGGTACTATTACTTCCGTGGGATGAATAAAATCATAAAACAGTATATAGAACGTTGTAGAGAATGTCAAATGCACAACCTTCATCAAGGCAAAGCCCCGTTCCAGGAGACTGAAGTCGCAAAATATCCTTTCCAAAAGATATCTGTCGACATAATAGGCCCCCTCACAGTTACACGTGGAGGGAACCGATACATCCTTGTCATGATTGATATGTTTACCCGTTTCACTGAAGCTACTCCCCTACCTGACCAGTCAGCTAATTCGATAGCTGATGCTATATTCGACACCATTATTTGTCGCTATGGCTGCCCGCAAGTAGTTATTTCTGATCGGGGGGCAAATTTTACGTCTTCTCTATTCGAGGATATGTGCAGGGTACTAGAGATCAAGAGAAATGTCACTACCGCATATAGACCCTGTTCGAACTCCATCTGTGAACGGGTCAACAAATCCATTGTAAATGTCATCGCTCGTATATCGGACGGTGATAATGCTAAGTGGGACCAATTCGTGCGCCCAGCATTATTTGCATATAACGTCGCAACCCACTCTTCGACAAATGAGTCCCCCGCTTTCCTTCTTTACGGATTTGACCCAAGGTTCCCGCAAACTCCGCCGTCTAGTGACTCTCAAGATTATAAGGACACTGACGACCATCGAGAGTTCTTAATAAGGCAATTAAGGGTCATCCGGGACACTGCGTACGAATTGAGTCGTGAGAAGAACCGAAGTAATAGAGAGAAACAGAATAAACGCAAAAGCTCCCGCAAGTTTAATATAGGGCAAAGGGTATGGCTCTTAAAAGCAAAAGGAGTTAGGCATGGGAAATTTTCCCCGAAATATACGGGCCCTTATCGAATTACTCGCATCCTGGGACCCGTGAACGTTGAAATTGAAGGAGGGTCCAGAGGTGAAAGGAGTATTGTACACATAGACCGTATGAAACCGTGTTTTACGAGTGTGATTTTCCCAAATAAAACCAGGAAAACACGAAAACGCGAATCCAATGAATGTGGCGATGACGACGACATAGCTGATATCCCATACGTCCCAGCCATACAATATAGGTTGGGGGAAACACCGATTAGAAGAATCTCTGATCAAGAAGTGAACCACTCAGATAATTGTGACCAACCTACTCATGGTTACAATCTCCGGGGTAGAAAAATAGACTTTCGCCGATTGCATCATGGAAAGTGACTTTTAGGGGGGGCATATGTGGCGATCGTTCGCCATATTGTGCCTATATCAGACAATGGCCTTTGTTTAAGGTAAGCCAAACCGGTACACCGTCCGTTTGACCCGAAGGGGGCAATTAGCCCAGCAGGGGGAGAGAGGTGAGTATAAATAGGGAACAGGAGCGGCGAAAAAGGGGAGACGAAGAAAGGACAGACTCGAGAGTGGATCGACGGAAGTACGAGGTATAGAGAAAACAAAGGAACGAGGACTGATCGGGACAACGAGAACAAGGGGAGAAAGAAACTCGTTGAAGACTTCGATCGTAGTAACTTTTGTACGGTATCTGTATTTCATGTCTTGATTGTAATTCACGTGTGTCCGCGACTCAATTTTTGTAAGAAACGGATAGAATTATCGGGAAGTTATTGTATTACTTATTGATCCTTATGTTACTTAATTTCTGTATATTGAAATTAAATCTTACAAGCTATCTTGTCATCCAGCCACTGATACATGACAAAAAAAAGGCAAACTGACAGACATGATTACATGAAAGTAGCAGTCATGAGATATGACAGCATTGTTTCGAATTAAGAGTGAAATGTTTCAATAGCTTTTGTTACAGAATTTAACCTACATAGTTGAATGAATCACTTAACATGAACAAAAAGATTCTCATTTAGATTCATCTTTCTTTCAAATACATATCATTAATAAGTACATCGATCTTTGTTTTGAAACTTTCTTCGTAATATATGATTCGCCTTTTATTAATAAGCAGAAATACAATTACGAAACTGCCATTAATTAAACTACATGATCAATATGAGAAACTGAGTATACCATCTAGACTGATGTAAACAAAGACTTAAACTTTGCACTAAATATAGCGACAAATCGATATTATAGTTTTTATTTCTAATATATTTTACCTTCAGTTCTAAATTCTTCGAACTCGTCGTCTTCTTCCAATAAACCCAAATCGATCTTCTTATTGGGATCAGCCATTTTCTTCGCCACAAAAATTAATCAATTCGAAATCCACGTGACTTTCAAAATTGAAGAGTCATTTGGCAACACTTAAATTTAAAAAAAAATAAGTTAATTTTTAGTTTAAGTTTAATTAAATAATTATCGACTTTTTTTTAAATATAAAATAATACAAAACACATAAAATACCAAATTTTAAAATTAAAACGTTTATTTTTAATTAAAAGTTTAAAATTTTTTATTTAAAAAAATTAGTTTTGTATCTTTTATCATTTAATTATAATATTTTAATAATGATATTAATAAATAGTAATAATTTATAAATTTTTATAGAAAGAAGAATTATTTATTAAAAGATAGTAATTCATAGAGGGCTCTTGATGATTTACCGTAGAAAATGTAAACATATTATTCATGATACGTGACGGATTGAATTATTTATCCGTAAGTTAAAGTTATTCCGATTTAAAATCATATAAAATTTATATACCGGTAATCATTTTATCCAATGTTATTTATAATTTTTAAATGGCGAATGAAAACTTATTTTGGTAGAAATTACGGTTTGAGTGGAGACTTCTGTAATTGAAATTTCGACCCGCCCCCTTTGGCTCACCCCTTCTTTTGTCCATGACAAATGTAGAAAACAATGTCGTCACTAACAAAACAAATGTCAATGTGAAAACGTGCCGCCTCCCGTTCTCGAGTTATGGACAAGACTTCTCTAATCCTAAAACACTTTGCAACAAGAAGTTGCAACGTGTTTTAGGATTGGAGAAGTCTGTAGATTAAAATTTCGACTTCCCCTTTCACTCACTTCTTCAGTTGATTGTGCTACATATAGAAAACAATGCTGCAAAGAGAGTTGAACCCCATTCTTGAGTTTTGGGGGAAAATATCTGCGATATAATGTGCACCGCACTCTGATGCTCTTCTAGTGTACAATTTGGTGATGATGCCACATGATTGCAACTCGCAAGATTGATGCAAGGATTGTCACCGAATGTAACCTATATATATGCTTTATCTAAATATATAAAATTGCTTGTCCTGACTGACTGAATGACTCACTGACTGATTCATCATCGCCCAGAGCAAACCGCTTAACCTAAAGAGGAGAAATTTGGTAGACAGTTAGGGTACGTCATGGAAACGCACACTAAGAAGAGATTTTTAGAAATCCCCCCGCGGGGGTGAGGGAGAGCATTAAGACTTAACTGGAAGAACGGCTTCTACTGTACTATTTTACATGCAATTTTTTGTTACGTTTAGTCTTCATTAAGTATTTAAGTGTATTAAATTAATAACATTTCAGACATTGTTATAAATATTTTTATCTATTTCGATTTTAAAAATGTTTGAACCGTTTTAAATTCAAATTTGTTATTGCATATTGTTTCGATTATAGAACGATTGTAAACGTTCCAGAAAATTGATCAAATTGAAAATAGTTCGTTTGATTCTCAGCAATTCTCATCATTATCAGCGGTAGGTGTTATATAACAATTACTATGGTTGTTGAAATACTGAATGGGGTTTGCTTGCAAAACCTCCGTGGGCAAAGTCGCAGGTAACAGCTAGTAATGTATATGGAGCTGGATTTATATATATATCAGGTTAGATTGTATCGTCTCACAAGTTGTAATTGCTCTGAAGTACAGAATAAGGTATTCTGGAACATGTGATTAAAATAAATGATGGTTTTCAAAAAAATATTTTTGGACAGACTGTCTTTTCTGATTAACTTAAAATTAATTAATGTTAGAATTAAGTTTATATAATAGTTTCTGACAAAGAATTGATTTCATTATAATTGATTTATTTTTTATTTTCTGCTATTTACTATCTTTAATAAAGAAATATTTTGAATAAGAAAATAATTCACTTTTTGCAATATTAATTGTTAAGATTATATTATAAAATATTTTTAATAATTGTTAAATGAAATTGCATCTCAATATCATTTGTTATCAATAGTTATCTATAGCAGTGTTTTTCAATCACCAGTCCATGGACCAGGGGATCTATTCTGAGTAGTATCGTTAAGCTAACGAATACAATGAAAACCAGTTTCTATCGGAACCACGTGATTCACGTTTAATTAACTGTGAAAATGCTATTTTGAGCAATTGTACATTTCATTTTCAGTTCCTATAGCCATGTGTGATAACTAAGCTTTTGTTATCGATCACTCTTGAGTTGCCGTTAGGAACGTAACGAAAGTGAAAACAACGTGGCATCTTATGGTGTAAGAATGATTTTACTTCACGAGCAATTGGAGAGAGAGTTAATAAACTATGATGTTGTATTGCTTAAAAATAATAACCTTAACTATTTATGAATATTGTATGAATAATGTAATTGCTTTCTTGTTAAAATTTAAAGTAAGTAGCTATAGCATGAACATTATTTCTGAAATAGGTTTCATTTGCATATGTATAAATTAAAATGATAGCTTTGAATATAAATATATGACTATCAGTTACATTTTGCCATCTTTCTGGATCTTTTTGTGAGCCGACTNCTCTTCAAGTTTCAATAACCTACCACAATGCATTTTTACATAAAATATTTTAAGAAGTTCTTTGAACAATTTGTCTTTTTTCAAATATTTTTAATATAGTTTATATTTTCTAACACATTTTAATGTTTTAAAAATCTTTACTTCTAAATTGTTTTAAAATTTCAAAAGTTTTTAATACTGTAAACTAGTTTTATAGGTTTAATTTACTGTTTTAAAATTTTTAAAATTGATCATCTCTTTCAAGGTATTGCCAAAATTTAAGTAACAGAATGGTAACTTAATTGATTTAATAGTTATTAATAGAGAAATATATAATTGTTTATATAATTGAAAAGTAATTTTTGTAATCGCATATACGTTTCTCAGTAATTTTAAAACTTAAACAATTGTTAATTTTAATAAGTATAATACAGTATATAATTAAGGTTAAATTAAATATAATTTTAAATTTAATTATAAATATTTATTGACATTCAATGTTATAATATTTAATTTGAAATCAATAAAATAATTTTTAAATTTAAAACAAAAATTTAAAAAAATATATACTCTTCGGGAGAAATGCTCGAAATATTAATGGAAAATGGAAAATAAAAAAGCAAGCCGAGAAAAAAGGAAATAAAATTGAAAATTGTAAGTTGGCTATCCATTAATTATCACAGTTTTTTCTTCAATACGGGAAAATTTCATAGAAAAAGGCAGAATATTCGCTCAAGAGTAACGGAAAAAAAAGACATGCTGCACGCATCTTTCATAATTCCATTTCGTTGCATCTTTTATTAAGATTTGTTCTCTTGAAACTCGATAATGATCCGAAAAATATTTGTAAAAATAATTGTTCTGGAACAAGAAACGACGAAAATTAATTTATTTCATTTATTTTCCCATTTGATAAATGACGCTTTAATTTAACGAAGTAATTTATAAAATGTTTAAATTTTCAATAGGAAACTTTTATTAAAAACGGATAATTCGATTATTTTGTAAAGATATATTTTTAGTTTAAAAACTTTATTAAAATTTATAAGTTCATAAATTCAAAAATTCTTTAATTTAAAACTAATAATAAATGCTTTGGTATTTACTTAAAAAGAAATATTAGAAAAGGAAAATATTCCAAATAAATTTGCAGCTAATGGCTTTATTGTATTCTATAATATATATAGATTATTTAAGTTAATAACTTTTTATATTTATATATCAGTTTCAAAGAAAATCGATAGTATAATGATTTGAAAGAAATTTACTTTAGAAATATAAAGTCAACTAAATTACTTTCAATAGCAATAAATTACACAAAATTGAAATAATGGAGCAAGATTGAAAGACCATGTTAATGTTTACAATATAGTTTAATCGTTGTGGTCTAAAGTTTCAATGTTTTAATTCTTTAATTTCATATATCGCTATTTTAAAAACCTTGATACGAGTTATGTAATTATTTTTACAAAAATCACTTACATCTGGTTTCTTGTTTCAATTTCTTTTGCTTTAAAAAAAATACATAAAATCCGAAGATAAAATTTCAGTCGTTGGATATGTTTTAGATTTTCTAAAATTCTTTTGTAGTTCCAGCAATCTAACGCTATTCTCTTTTAAAAAGGATTTCTTTCTTTAAAGTATTTCGTGTTTCGTTTTTTTATTTGAATTCTAGTTGCAGGAGAGATTGAAATTAAAAAGAGGTCGGTACTCATAACTATTTTAATCTCTATTTCCAATCTCGGAAGATTCTTTCAGTTAATAATATGGAGATAAATAGTTATCACAACTAGAAATAGAATACTCAAGACTAAGATAAAGAACTGTTGTTAGAGATTTGCAAATATATTACATTGCCTTAGTTTTTCTTAACAGTACTGTAAGTGTAGGCCTATATATGTAGCCTATATATATATACATATATACAGATATATTAGTAAGTGCCTGGTCTTGATAATTTTTTACAAGAATTAATATAAATATATTTATTATAATTATTTTTCTATTAGTATCTTGAATTTTTTGGACTGGAAAATGCTTGCAACTCTTTTGTAGAGGACTGTAAAAAGTTATGTATTCCTGTTAATGAGTGTAGTGCCAAATCTAAAAAGAGAGAGAGCATGCTGAAACTTAAAGTAAGTTTAAAGTTAAAATATATTTTAGGTTTTTACTTTTATTTTTTAGATTAAAATATAAAAACTTAGACATAATATTCAATAGTTATAAATACCTTAATGAAGTTATAAAAAAAAAATTATAGTGTATATGCAAGATACAAATGATTGCTGATTATTTAATGTTTTAAAAACGTAGCTGATTCTTATTAATTGAGACACTTTGGCTCAGTAAAGTGGCTGTTCCAATTATGCAAAGCTTATGTAAAGATTAATAAAATATAAAATAGAAGACAAACTGTTGTTTGATGAGCAACAGAAATGTTTAAATTTTGGAACAAATGGTACAAAATCAGATAAAAATATTTATACTAAAAATGATTTCAATTTAATATGTGCATAAAAAATTAATTGTTTCAAAGATATAGTTTATCAATTTTCTGTGATAAAATATTTTAAATTTC